CTCCCCTAAGGATCCCAACTAAATATTCTTACTCATATCATACTCAAAAGCACATCACATATAATAGCAATTCCTAGGCTAAGGCATCACAAATTAGGCCACTCTAGTCCTAAGATACGAAATACCTAGCCTGTCTCTAGCATGCAATAATATCTCATAAAGTGCATCATAAGGATCTCATAACACAGAAGCAATGGTATTTTGGGAAATCACCGTTCGAGCTCTGGCTGATTGTACATACTGCTCTTTCTCGCTTTCTCTTTGAACTCTTATTCGCTTTAGAAAATTTATTTCTTTGAAATCTTTTCTTACTTCCTCATTTTGAGTACAGATTTACCCGAAGGTGCATCCGAATCCCTCAAACCAAGGCTCTAATACCAACTTGTAACACCGTAAATTTCAAAACAATTTTTCATTTAAATATAGTGGTTTAATTCTTAAAAACACTTTTCTTAAAATCTCAATCATAATCAAATTACAAAACATAACTCCAATTTCACTTGCATAATAAACCAAGATCCTCAAAACATGACTCTTTTGCTGGTGTGTACAATCAAGCCGGTGCCGTCCCGTGATCCTGAGAGAAACCTAAAACACATAACACAAAACACTGTAAGCACGAAGCTTAGTGAGTTCCCCAAAATACCACATATAACACATATTAGCCACTTGAGGCTATAACTCTGTGGGTCCATGCATCCAAACTCTGTGAACCCTCAGGTTCTAACTCTACAAGCATGCACATCATAAATCACATAGAAGAATGCAGTACAACAAACAATATATATAAAGCACTGTTGGATTAGTGTCTAAGTCCATAACTATTTTGGTATGTACTTGACCCGATGGTGCATGGTCCTTTTGGGTTGCCTTCACCAAAGCAACTTGATTGGAGAAATAAATAGAGAGAGAGGTTATTATGATTTATTAATATGTTATAAGAATAATATATTAAAGGAGAAATCATATTTGTTTAACTAATATTGGTCAATAATTAATTAGGAATTAATTTTGTGATCAAGTGTAATTAATTAAACTAGAGGGGCTGAATTGTAATTATGTGATAGTTACAAAATAAGGTAAGGATTATCCTAAGTATAGGATGGACGAATTTATGGTGATAATGCCTTAGCATTCGACTATGATAAGGATTCAAGGATTATCTTATGGGTTGCTTGGTAAGCAAGCAACTAGATAAGGATAATGACTGAAACCCTATCTGTACACCTATATAAACCCCCTTGGCACATGATTTCGTGTAAGACCTTCCTAAGGCTTCTTAAGGACGAACTGAATACCTCCCCTCTCTCCTCATATCTTCTCCATTTTCTCTTGGTGTTTGTGAACCATTAGAGGAGTGACAATTGTGACTCTAAGCCTTCCAAAGTCAATACAAGGAGATTTGGGATTGTTATTGCCACATAACAATCAAGGTAACATTATAACCTATTCTTATGTTAATATGATCACTTGAATGCTAGAATTAGGGTTTATATTCTTGGATAACTTGCATGTACAATAGAGAAACCTAGATCCGAGCTTTAGGGTTTGTATGAGCACATAGGATGTTCTTAGGACCAAAACCCAACAAGCACTATATCACATAACTCTATTTACCTACTCAAGGTAAAGTATCGTGAGAAGACTCACCTCACGTATCTCGGTAACTCGTAAATCCCTGAAATCACTAGTGCTTGATCTCCCGAGCTATAGTCCTCCTATAACACAATACATCTCTAATTAACACTTTCCCAACTAAGGTTGACTAACCCTATCAAGTCAACACCGGTTAACTCTGGTCAATTGTCAACGGTCAACCCCAACTCGCCGAGTCTAGCGTGGACTCGCTGAGTTTGTATGGGGACCCGATTCCTCTGAGTCCCTTCCGACTCACCGAGTCACTCACCCAACTCGGTTACTCAACCCCTGGTTGGAAATCTCTGAACAACCTACACCAACTCGTCAAGTCTGCCAATCGACTAGGTGAGTGCATCCCATGCACAACCCCAAAACGACATTCTGAGGTCAGATCTGTTCCACTAACTCATAGATCCAGTCCTTCCAAGCTTATTTATCACGTAAAGTTCATGTCTTTGTGCTCATATCACACCTAATGACTCATAAATGGTGTTTGACCTCAAACACAAAGATACCAACCAAAAACCTCCATGGATTCATAAAAAGCTTGGACAAAGGGACACTCTGGACCTCCAAGGGTCCAGATCCAGAACCTAACTCGCTTAAGGAACCAAATGGGCACTAGATCTAGCCACAAAAGGGCTCAATAAACCCTAAATCAACATGAACATCACCTCAATAGAAAAGGGTTCGAAAATGGTACCTCAATGTGATGTTCTGGACCTCAAATCTTCAGGAAGTTGTTCCTCTTGCTTTCTCTTGGCTAAAACTTCCTTTCCCTTGCTAGACAACACCTCCAAGGTTGATAATGGCTCCTTCTCTCACTCCAAACGCTCAAGTGCACTAGGGATTCACTCTGGGGGCTGGTGAGCACAAATGACGGCCATAAGGCCCTTTTAATAGGCCCCAAACCCGAGAAATTAGGGTTTCATTAAACAGCGCTGACTCGCCGAGTCCACCAATGCGACTCGTCGAGTTCGGTCATTAATCCAGATGAGAAATCGCGTCTCTACTTGGCGAGTCTACGCGCCAACTCGCCGAGTTCTTCCTCAAAACTCAAAATAAAAAGAATAAATATAATACCTGAAATTCCGGATGTTACAACTAGTAGGAGTTTTTTGTTACATGATTGTCTTTGTGATAATTTTCTGGTGTGCTACTATCTGTTATGTTTATGTGCTATTCTGGTATGTCATTATGTAAGAGTGGTAGTAGGGGAATAGTCCCCGTATTAGTCGAAAGGACAAAAGGGGTAGGTCGGGCGTCCCGGTATGCCTGACAATAGGATTATGTTATGTTGTTATGTGGTAGTAGTAGGGGTGAAATAGTCCCCGTAACCGGTTGAGACAAACCGGAGGGTAGGTTAGACACCCCAGTATGTCTGACAGGGGTAGGTTAGGCACCCCGGTATGCCTAGCAGGGATAGGTTGAGCACCCCGGTATGCTCAACAGGGTAGCTTGGGCACCCAGATATGCCTAGCAGTATGTTTATAGTATGGTATGTGGTATTATGGGGGAACTCACTAATCTTTGTGTTTATGGTTTTCAGTTTTTGTTTCAGGTCCTTCTTCTTCGAAGGGAAAGGAGTCAACACAGTAGCATCGCATCACACACATGATTTTCCACACATGAGATTCTTGGGATTTGTTCTCTGATACTATTACTATTTGATGATATGGTTTTGAGACATGTGATCTATGGTTTTTATGAACTGAAATAACTTGATGATTATTTTCTATAGATTGTTTTATGAATCGTTGTATTAAAAATGAAATTTTTGGCCTTAAATTTTGGGATGTTATATTGAATTGAGTGGTCAAGGTTATTTAACATGCCCTACTTGTAACGAAGACACATATTCCATTTATGTGACCAACAAGATGTCTTATGTTGGTCACAGACGATTCTTGAATCTAAACCATAGTTGGAGGGAGAGTCTATTTTTTAACGGTCAACCTGAGACAAGACCGCTTCCTAGGCGATTCATTAATGCAACTATATTAAAGCAAGTAAATTGTCTCTCCGATCGAATTCTAGGGAAACATCCTGATTATAGGGGTAAAAAAGAAAGCGCGACGATGAAAGAAAAAAGAGAGAGTTGAACTGGACGAAATGAAGTATCTTCTTTGAGCTTGAGTATTGGTCTTCCCTCGACCTAAAACACAATTTCGATGTTATGCATGTTTCAAAGAATGTGAATGAGATTGTGTTGAATACTGCACTGATGAACGATAAAAGAAATGACAAAAAAGAAGCAAGACATGACTTGAAAAATATGGGCATTCGACTAGATCAATGGCCAAAAGAGAAAGTCAAGAAGATGAAGAAATACAACAAGGAAGCAAAAAAAAGAATAAAGTAATACAACCACTTGCTTCTTACTCTTTCAAACCAATTGATTGACAACGTTTCTATCAATTCATTAAAGGAGTGAGACTACCCAATGGTTTTGGATAAAAATTTAAGAAGAAGGTTAATGATAATGAATCAAATTTGGTTGGATAGAAGTCTCATGATCATCACGTCCTCATGCAACGATTGCTACCTATAGGGGTTCGAGCATGTCTCCCACCAAATGTTTCAAGAATAATCATTGACCTATGTATATTATTTAAAAAAAATTGTGCACGGTCATTCGATGTTAACGACATGAGAAATGTCAGAACAAAAGTGGTGAAGATCTTATGCAATCTTGAGTTGATATATCCTCCAACATTTTTCGACATAATGATTCACCTTATTCTTCATTTACCTGATGAAGCCATTCTTAGAGGGCCAATACACATGAGATGGATGTATCATTTTGAAAGATATATGAAAAAACTTAAAAAATATGTCAGAAACAAAGCCAAACCAGAAGGTTCAATAGTAGAGGGTTATGTTGCAGACGAAGCTTTGACATTCTGCTCGATGTATCTTGAAGGTATGCAAACTAAATTCAACTGTGCTGATAGAAATGATGATCATGGCATTCCAAAAAGGCAATTTTATGTGTTCTCATCAGAATGTCGAACAATGTAGGCTAAGAAAATCATTGAACTTTCTAAAGAGGCCAAAAAAATCATTGCATTGGTTTGTACTAAACAATTACGATGAGGATGAGATGAGAAGCTACAAATCATAAGTTTCTGATCTATTAACTAAACTTTCGATAGTGCTATAATATATTTTAACTATTCTAATTGTTTTGTCCCATATTCAGTGAATTCAAATCACAATTGTCTGAAAGTGATTTCAAAATGGAATTTCCTTCATGGTTCAAAGAAAAAGTAAGGATGTTATATATTTATAATGTAAAACTAAATTGTTACTTAAACATACAATCTTATATTTCCATACAAATTTATTGTCTCCAAAAAAATATGCCTTCAAACTGTACTGACAAATTAAAGGTGTTGGCATATGGTCCGTTGCGTGCATATTCTTTCACTACGTGCATAGTAAATGGTGTTCCATTTGTCGTGAATAGCTGTGATCTCCGATGCACTACTCTAAATAGTGGTGATGTTACATTCGGAGAAGACGATACACCATTCTATGGTCAATAAAAGGAGATCATTGACTCACATTATTTATATGGTAAATTAGTTGTACTCTTTCATGGTAAATGGTTCAATGCGTCATTACGTAATGGACGTTTAAAGACTATAAATAATATAGTTGTTATCGATACCAGTCATGAATGGTATGTCGGTAAAACGTGGTATGATGATCAACAATACATCTTAGTGACACAATCTAAACAAGTATTTTATCTCGAAGATCCTACTCAAAACAATAACCGGAGAGTTGTGGAAGAGGTTCATCATCGAAAACTTTGGAATCATCCAAGTATCGGTGTTGTGAATGAGATAGATGTCGTGAACGATACTCAGTCAACTGATTTTACCTTGGTTGTCGACCTTGCCTATGCAGACGACTTTAGGTGAAGTTGGTGAATCAAGTATGGTTGCTCGGAGGAATGTTGCTCCTACTATAAACGATGAAGATTTCATTAATGATGACAATAAAATGACAATAACGATGGTGATACGTACTCTTCAGATGAAGAAATAAATAATGAAAACTATTGAGGGAAGGCCGCAACATATTGAGGGTTGGAGACAAATGCGCTACAAAGAAGTTCGGGTTGGTGTACAAGTCGACTGCAAGAAGATTAAGTGATAAACGAAATGAATACGTTGTTTAAATATATTATTATTAATTATAGCTTTTTGTTTAAGCTATATTATTATTATTTTAATGTTTAAATTTAGTTGTTTGTTTTAATTAACGTATGTTTATTGTTTTCTTTATTTTAGGAGAAAATTCAAGATGAACATGAGAAAATGCAAAACGAGGTTGGGGAAGGCGAAGAAGTAAACAAGGAAAAATGTTTAGAACATGCCCTTGGGATAAGACGCGGGCATGCTCGCAAGGTGGATAGGAGACCAACCGCCAACTTCGGTTTAATTCCAAATGAACGACCTTCCACTTCCAAATCGTTCCAATTTTAATCCCAATTTGATGCACAACAAATGTAAGAATACTTGCAACAATATAATGTATCATTGGCGGCATGTATTTCGAACTTCCAACCACCATCATTTCCTAACTTTCTATAACTCTAACGCACAAGGAAGTACCTCTCAACAATTTGCTGAAAGGATGGAAGAAGAAGGGGAAGAAGAAGAAGGAGAAGAAGAAGAAGAAGACGATGATAAAAATGAGGTTGATGTTTTTTAGTATTTTGAAAAATTTTAATTCACTACTTATTGTAATATTAAACTTGTATTTGATGTTTTGACTTTGAAAAATGGTAGCTAGGTATTTTATTTCAATTGATATATGATGCAAAGTTTTTGGATTTTTAAAAAATGCAGGAATAGTAATATACAAAATCTGTACAAACTTTAAAAAAAAAAAAAAAAAAAAAAAAAAAAAAAAAAAAAAAAGAAACAACCAGTGGCTATCCTAACGGCATGTTATCGCTATAGGTATTTAATCGATGACTGTGAAAAACCTATAGCGACGACAAGTCATCTTAATAGCTTCAACCCATCCGACGACAGGTTGTCGCTAAAGGTTTCCCGACGACTTATCGTCGCCACAAATAATTAATAAAACTTTATTTTTTTTTCGAAAATACGTTTGACGAAAGTTGTACCGACTACATGTCGTCGGAATAGGGAAGCTATGCCGACGGCCATATTGACCTATGCCGACAAGCCTTCGCTGAGGACGCCGACGATGTGTCGTTTGTATACCCTATGGCGACGACCTATCGTCGGGATAGGTTCCGAAATTATCGTCGCCATAGGGGGTTAATGTTGTAGTGTGTGGGCTTATTTGTTGGGTTGATGATGATGATCATCGTTCTTCCTTGATAAATTTTGGGTTGGTTAAGCCACATATGGAGCTTGAAACCTAAACCAAAGCTTGAATATATGCTTAGTTTTTAGTTCGGTTTTGTTCTTCACAATAATTTTTAACAAGTTGTAAGGATTACGATTATCAATTGGGGTGGTTTTTGGTGATGCTTTATTTCCTTAGTTCAAATGTTCGAGATTGCTTTGGGTAGGTATTGAAATGTTATGTTTTAAATTGATTGTCAGTTGGATATCATTGGAAATTGCTTGTGGTTCAAAATGTTGATTTTATTGTAATGCTCACCATGTACAACATCAACGAAAATTTTGATGACTAACACATTCATAAAACTTAGTAGTTTGTTGTGTGGGAGACATTAAATATGCATGCAAATTACGTATGTACCTGTATTATCTTATGTTTTCCGCCAAATCTACCCAATTGTGAGCGTCCTACTCACCATAAATGTTTTAAAAACCAGTTTTTAGTTGAACCGGTATGGTGATCGGTTTCTGGTTCATCCGGTTCGATTGCTGGGTAAATCGGTTTCTATAATTCTTATTTTTTCCCCTATTTTTCTACATATATACATATACAAATCATGAATTTGACGTTTGAAAGTTCAAATATTAAAAATACACATAAAAATAAGTTGCAGATCAATCCAAATACATTAAAATACCACATAATCATAAGTTTTAGTATTTTACATCAATCCATATACGTTAAAAGAAAATAAAATATAATACCGAAACGAAAATATAGTTTTAGATGAATACAAACACATTAAAAAACTTTATAACATTTACTATGTGTTTTATTTAGAGAAACTAAATAGATTTGAAAAAAATACCAAAGTTTATTATGCAAATGGTTCTTTTCTATATGTTTTTATTCGGTATAACCAGTTTATTTTGACAAGTACAACATGATTTTTCTAAAAACCGATCGGTTCAATCCGGTTCAGAAATTGACGTAAAATCAGTGGTAGTTGTATCGCTCTCTCTCCCGAATTCTCGGTTCGACCGGCCGGTTCAAACCGGTTTTTTAAACATTGGGCCTAAGTTTAAAAAAATTGGTTATGGATTAATTATGCAAACCATCCTGAAAAACAGGGACCGTTCGTGTATTTTACTCTTTTGATTTTTATTGTGAGTTTACCGATAACCATGGACAAATTTCATGGATTTTTCTTTTTTCGATAGTGGTGGATTAATCATTAAATATTAGTTACGACTTTTGTAATTAATTTGGTAGCATCGTTTTCGATTTTTTTAAATGTCAAGTGGGCTTACGCCGTTGAGAATAGATCCGATATTCCTTCTATAAGAAAGACTGCAAACTATCTCCTTCTCCTCTACCATGCTACCGCCTTGTGCCAGCCAATCCTTCTCCTCCCTCTTCTTACTTTGAACTTGGATCTTCATAACAAGGTTACATGATCTTCTTTAAATAGAACAATCAATGCAGCTTTTTATATTTTTTACTTAGGTGATATAGAATTTGGCTTATTGGAAGCTATCAATTACGTGCTGTGAATTAATATCCCTCCTAATTTGTTGAAACGTTTATGTGAATTAAGACACTGCTAATTAATGAGTCTTGTGATCATTTCTTTCAGTATAAGATCGATCATGGGAAACCTATTATGTTTGGTTCAAGTAGATCAATCGACTGTTGCCATTAAGGAAACTTTTGGGAAGTTTGATGATGTTCTCCAGCCAGGTTGTCATTGTGTGCCTTGGATTTTTGGAAGGCGGCTTGCTGGACATCTCACCCTAAGGCTTCGCCAGTTGGATGTCAAGTGCGAGACCAAAACAAAGGTACGTTTTTCTCTTTTATTATTGTTACATCGTAGCTGTATGTTTATATCGTTTTTAAACTAATATAGTTTTATTCTCTTCAGGACAATGTCTTTGTTAATGTTGTAGCTTCCATACAGTATCGTGCTCTGGCTGATAAGGCAAGTGAAGCATTCTACAAACTCACCAACACAAGTACCCAAATCCAGGCCTATGTTTTTGATGGTAAAACAAAACTATAAATTATTATATATAAAGCAGTTTTGGTTTTCGCTTTTCTTGATGAGTAACATGGACATGCGTTCTCTATTTGTAGTTATAAGAGCTAGTGTTCCAAAGCTTAACCTTGATGATGTTTTTGAGCAAAAGAATGAAATTGCCAAGGCTGTTGATCGTGAACTTGAAAAGGTAACATGATTGAATGATTACACAAGATGTTCATGTACCCTATCGATTGTGACACTTTTGATATCTTGGATTTTGGTTACAGGCAATGTCTGCATACGGGTTTGAGATTGTTCAAACATTGATTGTCGATATAGAACCGGATGAACGTGTGAAGAAAGCAATGAATGAGATCAATGCAGGTAAAGTTTTCATCATTAATTATGTGTAATCTTTGAGATCAATTAATTAATTGTTTAATTTGCATGTCTATATATAGCTGCACGGATGAGGTTGGCAGCTATTGAGAAAGGTGAGGCAGAGAAGATACTTCAGATAAAGAGGGCTGAAGGAGAGGCTGAGTCAAAGTATTTGTCTGGATTGGGTATTGCACGGCAAAGACAAGCCATTGTTGATGGTTTAAGGGACAGTGTGTTGGGGTTTTCAGTTAATGTTCCTGGGACAACAGCTAAAGATGTGATGGATATGGTTTTAGTAACTCAGTATTTTGACACCATGAAGGAAATCGGTGCTGCATCCAAATCATCTGCAGTGTTCATCCCTCATGGACCTGGTGCTGTTCGTGATGTGGCTGCTCAGATACGCGATGGACTTCTTATGGGGAGTGCCACCACTTGATCCTAATCCTGATCCTCAACTATGTTAATGTAACATATACTTTTGGAGTGACATATATGTATAATAACAATATATTTTTATGTTTCCTATGATTGTGTTTGTAACTTTGTATCCATGGATTTTTGTATATTTGTGTGTTTATGTATATTTGCCGCATTAGGTGGTTTGTAGATATCGGTTTCAATTCAATGTCCCATTTAGTTTTGTCTCTTGTTTATTCAAATCTATGTGTTAAATGGAAAAACAGTAGTTTGTAATATCAAATGGTCACCAAATACCTATTTTGAAAATACCCTTGTCGGGTTATAACATGTCTTTGGACATTTAATGTGTTCGAGTTACCGATTAATATTAATTAGCATGATTTATCTCGATGGTTAATTTGTTTAATGTTAGAAGAGTATCCATAATGTATTGTTCAATGAAAAAGTTGTAAATAAGGCAGCATATCTTATTGATATTCAATGAATTGAACTTTATTATTATTAAATATTATGTTGAGTTTTAATGGATATGAAGCTTGATGATCATTGAACTCTTCAATGGGGAAAAAGAAAACCTTTTAACTATTTAATATGTCATAAATTATTTTATAAATCTATTCCATTAAACTTTACAAATTCAACACATTGTAGTAAAAAATGTGATAGTGTTGTATAAATGGTAGAATAATGTGGTGACAATCCCATCAACCATTAATTAGTTTAGTGTATTACGGATGTCTTAATGCAAAATCCAAACTCAGAAATAAGAGTTGAGAGTGCCATCCATGTTTACCAAAACTTTCATTAGACAAATTTAAGCCTAAATTTGAACAATGTGAAATAAGTTGAAAATTTAGAATAATCGGTGAAAAGGCTAGAACTTTTTTAATGTAAAATGTAAAAGACAATACCAAATTATAAATTTTGCATTTCATAAGTAGCTTTAAGCCCATGAAGTATTAGGAGGCTAACCCACCTGTGGCTAAACGTGAAGTACACTCGTGAGAGATTTTGAAATGCGTTTTGTTTAAGAAATTAAGAAGTTAATGCGAAAATCTTAATGCAAGAACCATTTTGTCGGTTTTACATTTCAAAATACGTGATTATTTATTTTATTTATAGGACAAAAATTACACTATTTTATAAAAAAACACATCTTCATATAGATTTGCTAGTCATCTTCTGGAAGTATAATTAAAGCACCTCTCAAAATCAAAATCAAAATCATAATAAACCAAGATATCCCTTTAACTCTTTGTAATATCCAATAGGAGATGGAAACAAGAAAGACAATTGGTAGTTTGGTTTGGTACCTTGTTTCTCCAAATGGCAACTGTACAATGAGAGGGACGTCAAAAGGAAAGTGCCCGGAAATGAACAACGATATTCATGCCATTTTTATTTTATTTTATTATATTTCATTGTGTCACCTCTTATTCTTTCGGTTTATATCTCTTATTTTAATTATTCTTATATTATTGAAAGATACATCAAGAGATGAAACCTAAATCTTATCCGGAAAAGGTTGAAACTTAAATGTAATTTAGAATATGTAAAACACAATTTTGCAAAGTAAAGTCCTTTGTTAAGAGACAATCTCTCTAACACCCTTTTGTTTATACACACATGACAATAATAGTCCTTGTATATGTTTATCACATTAAACCACTCAAAAGCCATATGCAATGAAAATTTTATACACTTTTTATGTCATGCCTAAATCTCATGTGGGTTCTAGAATGAAATTCATTTAAGTATAAAAATGAAATTCATTTGTGTTTTACATTAACAAAGATCGGTAATACTAAAATGATTTAAAGACAATACATCATATTTAAAAAGAAAATCTCACATTTTTAAAGAGATCTTGAAAACAGCCCACATTAAAGTGGGATATAAGAGTGGTTGTTTGAGAATTGGGACATTAATTAATTAATCGTTTTTGTGGGTTTAAACGCAAAGATAGAGCTTTAGGACCAAGTTTTTTGTGGGTTTATATAAAAGATCAAAATATTTGTTTAACTATATAAAGCATAGTTATAGTAAAAGATGTATGGGTATTAAAAATTCCAAAAGCTAACAAAAAATGAGAAAAAAACCGAATGGAACATCAGAAACGACATCCTTGGGAAACTTTCCCTTGTCCATAGAAAATAAATAAAATAGAAAAATCTAATGGAAGACAAACAATAACTTTTTATTGAAATAAAATGGCTTGAACTTGGTATGTCCATTACATCTTAACAAAGTTGCTAACGAAACATGCAAAAAATCAAAAAGACATTAATCAATATGATAGAACATGAAACCGTAAAAAAATGGTTTTTTGCTACTAGAAATTGACTTTTTTATATTACAATTTTAGGCCAAAAAAAAAAAAAAAAACGTATACGATAATTTATAATTATAAGCTTATTAAAACATCAAATCTATCTATGTTTCACCTTTCACAAATATGTTGTACTTTTAAATAATATCATTCCACCAAGTATCAACTTACCTAGTAGCACCAAAAAAACGAAAGATTAATGAATTTATTCTTATAACCTAGAGAATTATAATATAATTTGTCATATTGATGGGTTTTGTATGATTTGCTTAAATATAATTATCATATAATCACAAACCCATTATATAGAAAAGAATTGCAATACTTGAATTTTTATATGATTATTCAATCAACTAGGTGATAACCTGTGGAAACCATAGTTAGTATATTTAAAATTTTTATATAAATAAAAAAAATAATAAATGTCAAAAAACACCCAAGATATTATCGATTGTAATTAATTATGAATTAATTGGTTAATTAACTTAAATATAATAATGTTATTAGGATCGGATTTTGTATTTTTAAAATTTGAATTGAATTTGATTTGTTACAAAAAAAAAAAAAAAAAAAAAAAAAAAAAAAAAAAAAAAAAGTGATAGGTGTCATTCTTAAGTTTCATTTATTATTAGAGGAGGTAGAAGTTTGAAATAACTTTCTTATTATTTAGAATATTTGAGTTTTTGACCAATATGTTTTCCCTTCCTCAATTGGGCTTATCCCCCATAAATACTTATATAGTTATACTAGGTTATAACCCGTGAGAACTACGGATTAGAAATGTAAAAATAATTTAAATTAAATTATAAGGTAATTATTGAGCAATGATAAAAAAATATACATATAAATGTTTTGTCGGTAGTTTTATAATGGTATAATGATTGGTTGAAACTATAAAAGTATAGTGGTTTGAATATCCGATCGACAATTTGTATATATAGATATGTTAGAAAGTTATGATTTGTAAAGTTAAAAAATAAAATTAATAATTTAAAAGTAAGGGTTACAGATGATGGATAACTCCTGTAATTCAAATAAACTTCAATTCACGAATTGAATAATAATCAAATAACAAATAAATGATAGTTCTAAATCATGGTGATGAATCAATTTTTTTTGAAACAATTATTTATTTATATATTTATTTTATTTGTACATACATGAAAAAAAAAAATATAGGTTCCAATTACAGATACATAGACCATGTTTCTCCAATGAGATACTTACCTGATTCGTCTTTAGATCTATATCAAAATTATATGTATTCCTTCAGAATTAAGCTGCTCTCTTCTTCAAGTTGGTTGTAAAAATTATAGCAACAACTTTGGAACAACAAAAAAAATACGTATCAAAAAGTCTGAATACATGCACTTGATCAAAAATGACTTTTTTTTAAGATATGCACTTCAAAAATGGCTTTTTAATCGATTAAAAGTTAAAAGAGGAAAATAACATTATTTAAACAGGTTAAAAATATACATATCAAAAATACATTTTCAAACATGATATGATTCTACTTGTTTGCTGATTTATCTCTTTTACACACAAACAACCACCAATCACAAAGAAACATATACACAGATACACAACTTGATAAAAGAATCCTAATTACAACATCGTACTTTTAAAGTACAATGCTATAATCGGGAAGACTTGTCAATATTACATAAATAGTCCATGTGTAACAAATAGGCTAATTACACACAACAAGGTAGCAGAAATTTATTCTTGTCTTTTCTTGGTTTTCTCTATTATCTCCTCTCTTTATCAGGGGTGTATGTGCATGAGAAAAAGAGAAAGTGAAAAAAACAAACATACATTAACTAGTGAAAAAAACAAACATACATTAACTCAGAAATGGCCGTGTCCATAGCAGTTTGTGCAAGCTCCTTAAAAGGATATTTTATTGTGGTAATTTGATGAAAAAATGTTATAGAAGTAAAAGACAGTAAAAAGAACTATAAAGTATTGAAAAATTACACGGCCACATGAGTATGATTTCGTTATTGAATTCATATAAAAATGCAATTAATAGTTGTCTTCCTTTGTACTACGGGAGAAAATGAAAGGAATAAGCAAATATTAAAATTCCAATGTTAAAGGTATTTATGTCACTATGATATAAGTGTATAGTTGTTTTGGTTTAAAACTAATACAGATTGTTGTTATGGGGATAAAATAAAAGGAAAAGTATTTTGTTTTTTGTTAAAAAGTTAAAATATGAATGTTTTGATTTAAAACTACACAAACATATTGTTAAAAAAATTTTAATAATTACAGAAGGTGATAAACTTTAAAACATTCAAGACATTTTATATTTGTAATGCGTTTCTACATCTCTATAATTATATTATGGGTTGTTAAGCCTTAAGTCATTTAAAGAAATTGGCATTTTAGTTATACATGAAAAAATTGAAGATCACATAAAGCAATATAAAAGCAAAGCATTTTTATAATACAGTGTAAATACAAAATAGTTATTCTTACCACAATCAAAAACATTTTTTTCAATCTTTAATCATTTTGGTAACATGAAAAAAGATGTATAATAATATATTTAGACGTCAATAATATATTACTGTATAAAATATTTATATCAGCTTCTTCATTGTAACTTTGGTTTATTTACTAAATTGCCCCTATTCTTTATCTTCGTGTTGATATTGAAACCTTTGGTTTTAACAACT